TCAGCATTTTAAAAAATCTGGCAAAAACAAAAATTAAGATATCATTATGCCAAATATGACAATATCAGAAAGAAAAATCCAAAAGAAATTGAAAAGAACATTAGGTAATTATCATAAAAAAAAGTTTCAAAGCTCTCAAGCTCAAAAAAGCTTCTCAAATGAAAACATAAACAAGCCAATTTCCAACCCAAACAAACAAAAAAAACAAGATATTATATACTATCAACCTCTAAAGCATGGCAAAGTTCTTATGCACAAAGGGTAGGAAAATATATTTTTAGTCTACTTTCACATTTAATTCTTTAAACTCAAATCAAATTAATTTAGATAGTTATAACATGTATGATTTGGCCTTTTTTTCTGGGGATGACCTTTGCCATGATTTGTCCATTTATGTGTGCATATTTGGGCATGCCTATTACTGCCTTTTGCAAGTTAAGGATTAAAGAAAATAAAAAACTATTGTTTGTCAAAATTTTCAAACAAACATGTTGGGTGCAACCTGTTTTTCAATACTGAAGACTAAATACCATTAGATCACTAACTGTAGATATACACCAATACCAAAATAGAGATGAGTTTATTACATAAACCAAAAGAAGTGAAGACAGACATTATCTACCACTATTACTCATCTAATTAACATCATATTTAATAATCACACACAAAAAAAACTATAACAAGTTATTTAAAGTATAGGAATGACATACTAAAAAGAAAATCTTACTTTAACAAAAGCAATAGTCATATCTAACAGAGTGATTACACCTGTAATGACTGACTGGATGTCCATATTAATAACAATGATCATAATAATAATAATAACAGCTTCAACACCCCCCCCCCCCCCCCAAGAATAAGAACAATTGGGGTCCTAACAACTGAAGGCACCAGAAGGGCTTTAACTCCAGAGTACTTGAACAATACTCAGGTGCCTTAGTCTACTGAGCCACTGTATCTTACAAACGTTAAATCCTTAATTCTTAACTGAAACCAGCAATAGTCCTCTCTCCATGGTGTTCAAAATTATAATGGTAGAAAACTGAGAAATAATGATTTCATGAAGAGATAAGCTCTTCCTACTTTCCTCTGCAGGAATGTATAATCTAGGCCTATTGATTATCTCACTATATCAGATTAGATAACTATAGCAACAAAGAGGTTAATCATAAACTGGCTTGTAAAATGTGCATATTAAAAACACAAGAAAACTGATAGAGGTTTAATATATCAAAAATCATTACTGATACTCCTCTCCAAGCAAACATAAACCGTGTGTCGCTTATATGTTTAAAAATATAAATGTTCTTCATCGGTAGGCCTTAAGCAACAGCGTCATGTTGTAAAAAACTATTATATTGCTAAAGAAATATCCAGATGAAAATTATTCTGGCAAAAGCACAAACACAGCTGTAACTTTATTCAAGTTGCTAATGCACAGTTGTTTAACTGAGAGAGAAGAAAAAGTTATTGGGTTAGCATTTACTTGTAAGCAAAAAAAGGCATTTAAACACACACTTAATATTAGTGCTTATAACTCAAACGATAAAACAACTACTTATTATCACATTAGATTTAACCCACTGCCACAAGGAATGGCATGTACGAAATTGCCATATCCACTACAACTTAGTTTATTAATTGTCTTAACACATAGATGGCTCCATGAGTACTTAAGACACCAAGGAATCAATTACTATTACCACCTATCTCTTCTGCTTACCCTTTTCATTGATTATTGGAAATATTTTCTTTTATCTCATACTGCTATTAGTAATGTTAATAACATCATGATAATCAAAATATCAATAATAATAATAACAGCATGAATACTAACAGTATCAGAAAGAAAGAACAAATTCCCCAAAACTCAAGGACAGGTGAAATCAGGTGAGGTCATGATATATACTAACTGACTCTTTTGGTGACTGAGCACCTACAGAGCCATCTATGTGTAGAAACATTTCAAAGAACAAATCTGCAGTGAATTCTGCATTTTTCCAGGAGCACTGGGTTAAGACAATACCAAATGTAAGAGGTTCAGTTTCAAAAAAAAAATGTACTTAGCTATTCTCGCTCAAATACGATACCGGTGATGATATGTGTGATAAATGACTTCCAAAGTTGTCAACTGAAACACAAGTCCCTATAAATGAGATGATCAACAGATAATTAAAAAGCTATTTTTCCTATCAATCGAACAAAACACTACAATACCAATATCACATAGAAAAAAAAAGAAAAAAAGAAAAATTAAATTATCATCTACACAATTTTATCTACTTGCTCGCTCTTACATTTGTATCCTTCTTTGGGTGTGTATTAGTGTGACCATTAAGCAATGGAGACTTTCCATTCAGAGTGCCTGTATGTTTGCCATTTACAAGAACCTCAGACTTTGCCTCTTTAGTTTCTTCTCCTCTTGTCCTCGTCCCTGATCGTAAGGTCACCATTTTGTTCTGAAAATAAGGAATAATAGTAAATGGTAAGGGAATATATA